TGATTCTCCATAATACGATGGCTATTAATACAATGAGCCTCTTTCTGTGTCTATATCATGTATACTCTGTCGCATTTGTTCATATTCATCCACTGCCTTCCCCTTCCCCTTCCGCGCATAAACTTGACCAGTACCTTGTCGAGTTCCATGATCTAAATCTTGAGTGGCATATGTAAAATATTGCTCCTAGTCTATTCACCACCCTCAAGTTGTGTAGACGAGACCAACGACTGCCCGGCATCACCGCCATTATCTATCTAGGTACTACTGTCCGTGTTGCTATCATGTCTCTGGACCGAGCGAGAAAGAGAATGTGATTGTGAAGGTGTCTCGTCGCCCGACTCGATTCTTTCCAACGATGCAACTGATGCTATTGCCTTCCCCTTTGGCTTCAATAGGGGAGAGAAGAATGACTTAAATAGAATGAGAAAGGGCTCCAACGGTCAAATTGATCGTTGGAGCACTGTAGCACTGCTACAGTGCGATAACGGTCGATTTCGACCGTTACCAAGTGGTACCGGGTGGTAACGGTCGAAATCGATCGTTATCGAGTTGTGCCAGGCGGTAACGGTCGAAATTTCGACCGTTACCACCCGATATTACCCCTTATCATCCGATACGGGGTTTTTTTTGTATGTACCGCCCGGTAGCGGGCAGTCCATGTACCGGTAGTCTATCGGACCGGTACATATCGCCCATACCGGGCGGTATGATTCGATATGGTAGACCTTGCTTTCAAGTACAATGATGCCCTTGTAGATTTTATTTTAAATAAATTGCCTATGGAGCAATAGTACAAATAAAGAAATTGCTTTAACCAAGGTTTGCAATTTCATACCAGAATAGGGCCAGACTGGTATGTACCAACCAGTACCAGTGTATTATCATTCAGTACACTGGTATGTACCAAAGAAGAAGAAGAAGGATAGGAGGAAGGAAGAGGAGGATGGAGGAAGAGGAAAAAGGAGGAAAAGGAAGGAGGAGAAGGTGGTGGAGGAGAGGTAATCAGCAGCAGATGACAGCTAGAAGAGGGGAGGTAAAGGATGGCAAATGGCAGCGAGAAGAAGGTTCAGCGAAGAAGAGGGCTTGCGATTTGTAGCGGGAAGAGGAATCTGCAGAGAAGAGGGCTAACAATTGCAAGCCCTAATTTCAATCCTTTTAAAGCTTTCTTTTTACAATTAGACTGGTCCAGACTGCCTGAAATGGGGTCGGTCCACATACTGGTTCATGACCGGACCCATAAATACCTGTTGGTACGCATTGGTCCAGATGCAAAGGAGTTCCCTGGCTTAAACAAAACAATGGGTTGGTAAAGCATTTCTTTTATTGTTGGGCTCTCATCCACCATTTCTTTTATAATCAATATGATAATTTCTGACATGTTATTTTGTTAGTGTCACAAATTCTGTAATTTTTCCTCCATTCTGTGTTCGTAAGCAATACAAAACTAGTTACCATCCTTGTGAGTAGCTTATTTTCATTTTATATGTTTTCAACCTATGCTTTGTTAAACAAACAAATATGTGTTTGCAGGTAACAGAATCTGATGCTGTGGATGTTTTGGAGGCTTCTTTGAAAAATTGCTCACCCGACATTACAACTCAATCATTGTCTTTGATTGCTCTTCTGAAGCTTTCATCACGTTTTCCCCCTACATCAGAGCAAGTTCCTAAATTGGATAGAGTGAATTGTTTCCTTTTTTTACTATCAATTCTCATTGCTGTAAATTTCACTTGCTTTATACCTTGATGTGTTTGTTAGGTTTAATGGACCTTAACTATAGTTCTATAAACTGTCAGTTATTTTCCTTCTGAGAAGAATAGATTCTGGTGTAGCACTATACGAATATGATGATACATCAAATATTGTAAAAATAGAAATGACATGGCATAAATACAGCAATAAAAGATATTTTAACATATATAATAGTATAATACTATATATGACAATTTGGCATTTAAATGTTTAGAGTAGATAGTTTCATTTTCAAGATAAATAATAACAAGTAATCCACACATCTAGTTTATTCAATAAAATAATTATTTCTAAAAGCACTGTGGTCTACTCTAGTTTATGAATTTTGGTTTGTCGATATCTTTATCTTTTGATTTTAAATTTACACTAGTTGCTTCTATTCTACGCACTATTCCTTTTTTTTCTTGTTTAAAGTAAAATGACCATTGGCCATTGGTTATATAGCAATCGTGCACTATTAGGCAATTCCATTTGTATTTTTTTTTTTTAATTATTTTTTGTTTCTAATTTATGCTAAATGTTTTATGATCTACACAGGCTCTTAGTTCTTTTTTTTGTTAACAAGTTAAAAGGCTCATTGCTCGAAAGCATTTTGCACTAGTGATGCATCTCTTATCATTTATGAGTTCTTTTATCTTTTTGTTAATTATGAAAAAAAAAATTTGTTAACAAGTTAAAAAGGTCATTGCTCGAAATCATTCAAGTGCACTTTCTCATGAACTACAATATTGTAGCACTTACGTCTGCGTTGCAAATTCAAAAACTATTTCTCTTTCATGTGGGTACTCAAGCATTTTAGATATGTTTAAATATTTTTTAGATGCTTTTGTTATTCATTTTCCAACCAAACTTGAATTATTCTTCTATTTTCCTACCAAAGGAAAATTTTTATCTTCATAGTTGTTGAACAAACAATTGGTTGTCAAGCACAATAAGAAGTGTTTGTTTAGTTTACCTATCTTCTACTAACTCTTCAAGAATTAGATCCAAGTTACTATTTACATGTTTGGTTTGATCATTTTCTATGACATTTTAAGATCCCATTAATATACCATTCTGTGTATTTGAAGTTATTAGAACCAAGGTTCGCAATACCGTACCGTACCGGTATTTTGACCTGGGCTCGGTACCGGTACGGTACGGTATAACGAGCGGTACACTCAGGTGTACCGAGTATTGTAGCACTGTAGCAGTGCTACAGTACCTCGGAACGGTAACAGTCGGTCCGCGTACCGAAAACCTGTCGGACCGGTATGTACCGCCCATACCGGGCGGTACGGCTCGGTACGGCAGACCCTGATTAGAACAAAATATTAAGATGAATATTGGTGTTTATTTGTTGAAGTGTGCAAAGTTGTCAAAAAGGCTAGTCTTTTATCTACTACATTTGAACCTTAAGATGAATATTCTGGTTTTGGGATGATTTTTCTGCCTTTTGTCACTATTGAAGACATTTTAATATGAATTTATTTCTTCTGAAGTGCAATATACTTATGATATTTTATTAATTGGGCATGAGAATTGATAATTTTCCCTTGTGTCTCAACTAAGATATGCTATTTTCCTCAACATTTAAGCAGTATAAATATCCAAATCAATCAGTTTAAACTCCTCTTCCTTATAAATTAGATGTTATTGACTCAGTACTGTCTCAATTGTATCCTTTGGCAAGATGACATGATAAGTAGGGGAAACAAGAATAACCGATGTCAAGCCTTAAGCAGTTAATTTAGAGAGCAAAGGTCCACAACCTAGAATCTGACAGTGTGGTACCTTTTCCATTTTTTGCTTTTGTGATGTCCTAAGTATTTTAATCCCTTTGGCTTCTCTATCCTCAATTTTATAACTGTCCCTGGGTAGATTCAGTCTTTGAAATAATCTGAAATACACACAGCAGATTGAACAAATGACCTATTCTCTGCATTGGTGCACCCTGCAGGGTGTTTTTCTTTTCCTAGATGTCAAGGTCCTATGGTTGCATGATAGATAAAGTGGGTCACAGACAATGGTGTCAACAACTAGGTGATTGCAACTCACCCAACCTGGTTAACCATAAAATAGACCACAACAATGGTATCAACAACTTGGTGATTGCCAGTCACCCAACCTGTTTGAGATTTTTGGTCAGAAGGCATTGTATGTTTGACTGGTAAAGATATAATATCCCACTGTCTCTTCTTCTAGAAACACTTCAGTTTGTATAAACTGGGTCACAACATAGGCAAGCCAACCAATGCACAGACATGTTAACTAGTTTTGCTTGGGTTTGTAGGTCTACTGCTGGTCTGACTCCCTATACAGAAATTTCAACTCCTTGAGTTCTGATATCCCTGGAGCTTACTATGTGCAACATGGTTAATGCCATAAAATTTCCTTTTAATAAAAGAAAACAGAATCTCTGTACAACTAATTTAGAGTCTTGCAGCCATTGGTGGATTATTTTGATATATTTACAAGTGGCATGCCTGCATATGGAGGAGAATTTATCAAACCCCTATAAATTTATCAACATTACAAGCATCCATAGGTTTTTTTCTGTTTCAAAATGTTTCATATCTCTCTTCTATCTGTTTTTATCATTGTGCCTTATTATTTATCCTTTTAGTTTAATAATAAGATCTTGTGTTCTTAGTTATTACCTAGTAGATGTCATTGAATAAATCCTATTTTCTACATCAGGCATCTTCAGTTTTCAAAATAGCTTATATACTTTTGGATATTTTGAAAACATTGAATGTACATGCTTTAGCATAGTTCTAATAGATAAAAAATTAAAAAGAAATATTTTTTCCTCATTATGCAACAAGTATTTTGTAGAACTATAATAATGATTTAATAATGCTAGGATGGCATTGTATTCCTAACGTTGTGCTCATTATATGATTTTCTAGGAGGATAAGAGAGATCATTATGTATCATAAAGGGAGTGTTGTGCTTGAGTTACAACAAAGGGCAATTGAGTTCAACTCTATAATCCAGAGGCATCAGAATATAAAGTAAACACTTTGTAATATTATGTTTCAACATAAATATTATGCTAGCATTTGTCTTGGACCTCATATTCATTTCTGACTAATTTTGTAAATATGCAGGCCTTCTTTGCTTGAGCGGATGCCTGTCCTGGATGAGATGACTTATCTTTTGAAGAAAGCTAGCTCTTCACAAGCAAATGTTTCAGCAGATAAAACTAGCAAATCAAATTCTAGGGCTTCGTTAAAGCTTCCAAATGGTGTAATCCATGCTCCAGCAACTCCTGATTTGGATTTACTTGATTTAAGTTCAGATGATAACCCGGCTAATACTTCGTCATCTAACGATTATCTCCATGACCTGTTAGGCATTGGTTTGACTAATACAGGATCCACAGGTTTTAGCATTTTCTCCTCATTATTGATACCTTTGTATAACAAAATTTGTGCCTTGATGTTGCTAAGTTTTTGTGTTAGGATAGCATATTCTTAAAGCTTTATTTGACCCTTCTTTATTTATTGGTAAACATACGGAAATTTTCTTAAGATTCTTTCTGTAACAGTACAATAAAAGATTTCTCATAGGCAAAATTTTGGAATTCGGAAATATATAATTAGCTTGTTAAAGGATTGCAAGCAAATCAGAAAGTCAAGACTAGAGAAAAATGTTGTAAACAAAGAATACTTTAACTGCTGCTATGCCTGTGCATAGTATTGTGTAGAAACATGAATGGAAGTGTAGAGATCTGAAAGTAGTGGGAAAGACAATTGTCAATAGTTTATTGGATTAGTCATGAATTTAATTGTGTGCATGAGGGACTAGTTTGATAAATGGTAGTAACTTGAAAAGTCACAATTATCCTTTGTAGAATCATGTAGCCAAAGCACAAATTCAGAATAATTTAAGAATCTCTGAGGAATCTAGAGAATATTTATGCAATTCAGAATGACAGAGCTTGTGATCTACTTGGACCCAAAACTTAGTAGTGTTTACTGCAAGATTACATATTTTCCTTAGGCTACATGTGCTACTAAATTCCTACTGCTAGGAATTAATCGTATTCTTGTACTCAAAGAAAAGATGCTTTTGCACATGATATGAATAAAGCTAGGAGATAATTACCTCAGTCCTTAAATATGAGGTAGCTAGTAGATAATTACCTCTAATAAAGGTAACTGTTTGGTAGTTAAAGTGTGGCATTATCATTCTTTTATTTTTCTTGTTGCGCTGATATTCCCATTAGAAGGTAACGATTGTTTAGAACAGGAAAAGTGCAGTCAAGTGAAAGCAGGGTAATTCACACAGGCTTGAGTTATTAACCCTAGCATTGATTACTACAACCAAGCCGGGTCATATGAAATGATCGTCGTCTGATAAACATCCTCTCATATTGGTGATGTTTAATTTTTCATATTGAAATTAAGCATTTTTAAAAGTATATATTGCAACAAGATAAAAATTATGTCATCTGCATGACACCTCCATCCAAAAATAGAATACATAATATCCTAACATATGACGTGTTAGTTGATCAGTATTCAGTTGGTACAAGAATTTGATCTCGTGATATTGAACACTTGTCACAAAATTCAGTCCACTCAGTTTATAGTCACACATCAAAAACAGTTTTTCTTTTTTAGCTTTAAGTTTGGTTCTAGTTTTGTTGGAAGCTTGTGAAATGGAGTAACATAATTATATTAGTTACTTTTATTTCACTTAGCTACACCTCTCTTGTCTAATTATATTTTCAGACAAAAATGACTATACTTGATAGAAAGTTATTCTATTCTGCAATGGCAATTAGTTGTCTCTAAGGTTCTCCGTGCTCAGCAGATTTTTTGATGTCTCACACCAGTTCAATTTATAGTCGGATGCCAAAAACAGTTTTACCTAGTTTTAAGTTTGGTTCTAGTTTAGTTAAAAGCTTGTAAAACGGAGCAATATTATTAGCTTGATTTGCCTCAAAAAAATTATCAGTATAGTTTTATTGTAGATCAAGGCATTGCTCCATCAGAGGGTACAGATATTCTCATGGACCTTCTCTCGATTGGAGCACCTACTGTTCAGAATGATATATTAGTTTCTGATGCAGTCTCCTCCAACCAAGGTATATCATTAAAATTTAATATGCTTATTAAGTTATTATAATTACTTTGTTTTGCAACTTTTTATTTTGAACTCAAAGTATATTACTTTATTTTATTATAGGAATTGCGCCAGCAACTAAACCTTCTTCCACTACTCAAGTAATGGATTTGTTGGATGGGACACCAACAAATACATCAATCTCTGGTAACTTTGTGTATTTTTGTTAAGCTTAAGGACAATGGAGAGCTTAAAGATTTTACCTTAATTCTTGAACAGATTATCAAAATCCAGTACATCCATCTATTATTGCCTTCCAGAGTAACACCTTGATGATCACTTTCACCTTCACAAAGCAGGCTGATGACCCAAAAGTTACACAAATCCAAGCTACTTTTACAAATTTGTCATCAGATACTTACACAGATTTTGTTTTTCAAGCAGCTGTCCCAAAGGTTTGTAGTAGATATTTAGTTGATCGGGCTTCTCTCAGAGCTTTATTGTTTTTCCTTGGTATATTTTTAATATGTTTGTTTCCCTATCTGACTCATTAGACATTTCCTATTATAACCTTGGAACAGTGGAGAATGAATTAGCCACTGCTTTAATTTGAAACTTCCCTATTCATGCCTTCTCATGTCAATAAGTTGTATCTGACATGATCCAGAATTCTGTGTTCATCTAACATAAAGGACAAATAGTAGATGCCAAATTTGAGGTATGATGACCACGAGAATCAGGGTTCTCTGATGAAATCTTCATCTGTGATGATAGACTACACTGTATCTTAGAAACTCATCGGTTATGAATGATTAGCAATGGTGGAATAACTTGTAGGTTTGTCCTTTTCCAAACTGCTTTCAGAATGCTGGTCTTACTATCCAAAGTCAGGATCCTTATCTGGTAGAATCACTTCATGGAATTAAAGGAAGACATTTAGTAAGGAGAAGAAAAACTAGTGTCCCTAAATCTAGTAAGGCAGAGTTCATTTTGAGTTTTTTATCTTCGTATGCACTCATGGCAGTCTTTATAATTTTCAGAGCAATAATTATATACGAAATCTCAAGGAATAATCAAGTGCATGGTTGAAGGAGGCTGTTGGAGAGAAGGCAGCCTAGACCCTGCCATAGGCACACCCTATAGATGATTTCTTTTGAGTGTTGGTTCTTCCTAAATCATGAACTCCTCCCTGCAAAGAGAAGAGAGAGAGAGAGAGAGAGAGAGAGAGAGGGTTCTAGTAGACATCAAAGATAGAAAGCATTAGTGAAGGTGTTTAAGAAAGCAATAGGGATTTATGACATTCAAACTGACAGATGAGATAGCAATTATTTCTTCCTATAGAATGTTGAAGGTAGCAGACTCATCTTGCATAGCTGTGCCATGGGACATGATAGATATTTGGTGGGATTTATACATCTCAGACAGCTTAATTATATAGTGATGACATTATATTGAGGAATCAAACATTAGAGGTTGATTGGATGTTGAAAGATAAGTCCTCAGATGCTTTCCTAGCATGCTCGGGTGAGGCAAGGAAAGGTCTGAGCACCTCAAAGCAATTCCGGGCAAGGCACCTTGGCTTGGGCACCGCCCAGGCGAGGGGCTTAGCCTGGGCATTGGGTGAACCTGGGCACTAACCTAGGCCAACACATTTGCCATGAGCTTGAACCAACAAGACCAACCTGAGCCCAAAGCTTGATTAGAGCTTGAACCACATCTTGGTTTGGCTCACTTAACTAAGATTGGATTTAGGTGTAATCAGCATGGTCTGCAGTAGATTGGTTAGACCTGAGTTCAAAGCAACAAACCCAACCTGAGCCCCATTGGAGCTAATACGGCATCTTGTTTTTGCTCAGTCGACTAAGCCTGGGTTTATTACGTTCTTTCGCCATCATCCCCCCTCCTTGTGTCATGTGTTTCGCTCCTTACGGTTCTAACTAAGCCCCAATATCACCAACAGCTCTCTGTCTATTCTCCATTTTGCATCACTGTAGCCTAACCCGCACTTGATCGGGTGATCACTTAATCAGGTGATCAGATATCACTGACCCATGTTTGCTCTCCTCTGCTTGCCTCACCTCACCTCCATCTTTTTCTACTCTCCTACTGCCAGAGAGCATCATGTCTCAGTGACCTGAAGCAGCCTCACTCCGCCAGAATCCACCCCATCTGCTATTCATTGCTGGCCCTCCATCTCCTCCATTTGTTGCAACTTTTTCTAACTATCGTACCAAAGACATGATTCGGTGTACCCTCTCCATTTTCTTTCTCCTTGCTGCTTCCAATCTTAAGCAAGTCTTTAGCTATTATCTCCATTGGCCTCCTTATTTAGCCTGCTACTTGGCAGTCATCACTGATGCCAACAAGTGCATTAAGGTCAACAGCAACTGTCACTACCCTGTTTGGCAGCAATCTTCGTTGCAGCAATCTTCATTCTATTGTTGTTTCCATAGTGAAGAAAGCAGCAACTGTCTCTTCCCCATGATCTCTTGATCTCAATAATCTTCTAGGCACTATTAGACTTCCTTTCACCTATTTGATATGCAATGCATGTTTGATTGAATTTATTCTCTGATTATTATCTTTATATTTAATTATTTTTCTTATAAATTTTATATGGCAAGTGCCTTCATTGCTTGGGCAGGACTTAGACAAGCTCCTGGCATCTTAGGAATTTTGGAACCTTAGCATGTTTTAGTGCCTAGCGCAATTGACAAAACTGGACAGAGGTCAAGGTCTTGAATACCAATCGGTCTGGTATGTGCTAATCAATTTTTACCAATTTGACCAACAACTAGTATTAGAACATATAGCAAGATAATGGAATATATATTGGTCATATCTACCAATCAGCATGAAGATTGAGACTCAAATCACAACATATTAAGCAAATGAGGTATAAAACAAAGGTAACTAATGTAGGATGATGGAATAAGGGTCTAATTACATATTACTCCTTGTAGTTAGCTACCTTTAGCATCCCAGTCCTTATACTTTTAAAAGTTATATTGGCATCCCTATAGTTACGAATGTAAAACATCTAGGTTCATTTACCCTAATGATGTCATTTTTACTAACGGAAACATGAAAATAAAGGAAAAAAAGATAATTTTAACGTTCTAGTTGGTAGTGGCGAATGGTGTCATTGGTGACAAACGATGATGTCACTAGCGTCGACGCCGACGTAGTTGTCGAGCGGCCCTTTTGTCGCTCTACATCTACGTCAACGCTTCGTTGCTACAAAATCAAAGTCCGCTATCAAAGCCATCACGGAGATCCACCCCCTCACCGATGCCAGTGTCGTGCCCCTCCTTGCCGCCCACCTCCTCAACCACCACCACCACCACTCGTCCACGATCGAGACCTAGGAGAATGCCGCTGCTGCCCACCTCAACCTCTCCATCTCCATTCACGAGGTGCTCATGTGCACCTTGGGCATCCTCGATGCCCTCATCGCCGCTCACCGTCTCCTCTCCCCCACCGTCGCCCAGTATGTTGTCGCAACCCTTTACAGCCTCCTCTCCATTGAAGCATAAAGGAAGCCTCTCATCGCCGCCCTCGTGGACCTCCTTGGCGCGCTGACTAGGTCCATCAAGGACGCGCTCAAGGCCCTCTACCCACTCAATCGCACAACCCTCGTTGAGCTAGGTGCTATGCCGCCCCTCTTCATGCTGGTGGTGAAGAACGGGCGAAGGGGAGTGGTGGAGGACGCAACAGCGGTGATCGACCAAGTGGCAAGACATGATGAGAATGTGGAGGCATTCCGGAGAGTGGACAACGTCAGCATCCTAGTGGATTTGGTGGTTGGGGTAAGCGGGAGGGCGAGGGAAAATGCTACGGCTATGTTGATGAACCTGGTAAAGAGTGGTGGAGACAAGGTGGTGAGGGACGTCAGGGAGGTAGTGGATCCTAATGTGACGAGAGCATGGAGGCATTCCAAAGAGTGGACAACGTCAACATCCTAGTGGATTTGGTGGTTGGGGGAGTGAGAGGGCAAGGGAAAACACTACGGCTATGTTGTTGAACCTGGTAAAGAGCGGTGGAGACATGGTGGTGGGGGACGTCAAGGAGGTGGATGGGATGGAGGCGACCGTGAGGGCTTTGGTTGACGACGATAGCGGGGTGAGCGTGAGGGGGAAGAGCAAGGCAGAGGTGTTGCTAAGGGTTCTGGAGAGCAGGTGGGGGAGTCAACTACAAGGTCTTGATGATTTCGAGACCGGCATCGACGACTCGATGCTGCAAACCGCTTCGTCACCACTCTGCATTCACCACCACCAACTAAACATTAAAATTTTCTTTTTACCCTTTATTTTCGTGTTTCCATTGGTAAAACTGATGTCATTAGGGTAAATTGACCTAGATGTTTCATTTTCATAACTATAAGGATGCCACTTTTTAAGGTATAAAGATCATGATACTAAAGATAGCAACTATAGAGGGTAGTCTGTAATTAGCCCTGGAATAAGTTATAATTTGACAACTTATAATCCTTGAAAAATAATGTCTAAACTAATAGAATATTTTCAAATGAAAATTTACCTACATCACTAAGTCTCTTTAGTCTACTCGCTCTATTTTTATACTTTGTTTAAATTTGATCGAACTATTTTTTTTATAATTGGGTGCTTTTAGTGTGGATCTAAGTGTTAGGTAATTGTTGAGATAAGAATATTGAGGTGGATATATAGATTTAGCATGAAATATAGGAAAAGAAATGTGTTCATTCATCAATTGGATGTTACTTCGAAAGAGGTTAAAATGAGGAAGAATCCCTTAAGATGATATACAATATGCTCAAGAGACCTACAGATGCTGTAGTTAAAAGAGATGAAACAATTATTATTAATAATACGAGAAAAGAGGTATAAGGAGACCTAAAATGATTTTTTAGAAACTATAAATAGAGAATTAAATACTCTATAATGTAACTAAGGATAGGTTCATGTCAATGATGACAAAACATCTATTAGCCAATCCCAAATAGTTGGGACATTACTGCTTTGTTATTGTTAATGGTGAAGGTGCTTTAGTATGGGATAAACAGTTTTCATGGATCTTCATGATAAATATATGTTTATATGTTTTATTGTTTTTATTACTAATTGATATTTTTTATGGACATCAGTGGACCAACTGCTGAGATACTTCTGCTGTTAAAATCTATTATGCTTGGTGTCTTTTAATTTTTTATTTATAATGTAGTATTGCTGAAATTAATTTGTTATCCAGTTGTCTTGTAGTCTTAAATCATTAGCTGTAGAGGCATATGTTCCTGATTTTTTTTTTTCATTTTCCAGTTTATACAGTTGCAGTTAGACCCAGCCAGCAGCAATTTTCTTCCAGCCAATAGCAATGAGGAAATTACACAATCTCTGACTGTTACTAATACCCAACATGGGCAGGTAAATAAATTTTGGATAATTGAGATTGCTTACTTTACTGCATGACTTTTAGTGCTATACCTTATAGTATTACTGTTAACTTCTATCTGCCATGGGAACTCTTATATGGTTAATCTGCATTACCAATCCTGGTTTGAAATTTCAGTACCAGACCCTATGTTGGCTGGATTGATATAGGTCTGATACATACCAGCATACTGACAGTATGCCAGCATACTTGTCTACATAGAAAAGGAAGAAGAGGAAGAAAAGGAAGAGAAAGGTTAAAGTTCTAATAAGAATTTTAATTAAAAACCTTGAACCAAATCTGAAACCACCTGATATCGGTTAGTTAAAGGCCCAAGACTCCATTGGACCTGTATTTACCACCCAGATCATATTGGTACCAGTCCAAGTGGTTTTCTAAATCATGCCTGAAGTTTCAGACCTTGAAAGTCCTGAAGCATACAAGATAACAATTTTATGAAAGTGACATGTAGGTAAAATGTAAATGTTCAAAAAATTTGATGTTACTACACATTCTATTAATTAAATTAGCTTATAGAAAAATTGATCTTTTTGTGAGTTTTTGTACTTATTGCACTTTGAACTCATAATATCATGGCGAGTTGTGTCCTAATCAATTAATGAATTACTGATTTTTTGAAACACGATTAGACTGACTGATGAACATTTCTTTCTTTCAAATGACCATGAGGTAAGCTCAGATAAGCTAGTGGGTTTTGTGAAAGATGGCTTGATATTAGAAACCTTATGAAGGAAAGCTATTTGAAGTGGGTGATTGTCTTGGAGAGAGTGGATCCATGGCCCCAAGGCTCAACAGCTATTTCAAAATCATCCTTAGTATGTCTTGTGAAGCTTGGCCTAGTGGTGGCTTCACATTTCATCTAGTCCCTTTTGTGTGTTGTTGTTTCATACTTAGGCCCTTCTTCATATTTGGTATTAGTTTCACTTTCATACCAATTGTAATGATCCTGCCTGAGGGGTAAACTAACTCATTACCTTGATGAGCCTAGAACCACATGAGTCAAACTGCTTAAGCCCATGTTAATGATGATAAGCGCATCTATCCTTTAAACCGACATAATCATCTTCCTATTTCTGCTATGGGATTAAATTATGGTATTACAGTGTTAGATATGTCATTCTTTTAAACTTGATTTGCCTTTAATTGTTTGTTCTACTATATAGATGTCGGTTTAATAAAGTTTGTTGGTATTCATAGCAAGGTTTAAAATTTCGTACCGTACCGGTATATTGAGCTTTACTCGGTATGTTACGGTACAACGTATCGAGCAATACGCTAGGGCATACCGAGCGATATGCCTAAAAATATATATATAATTAATATATAAAAATATATATTATATATATAAAATAAAAATATTAAAAAAAAAGCGTATGCAACCTCGGCGACGTTGCCTCCTCCTCTTCTCCTCGTCGCCTCGTCTACGGCATCCGATGAAGAAGGCGGCGAAGATGTCGAAGGCCACAAACGTCGCCGACCTTCAGCAAAGAATGCGGCGAAGGTCGTAGACGTCTCCGGTCTTTAACGAAGAACACGGCGAAGAAGAAGGCCGTAGAGTCACAGATGAGGTGATGAAGGAGACCGCCTCTTCTGCTGCTCTGTCGCCACCTCCCCTGATCCCCACGCCTTCATATCCTCCTCTTTACAACTCTCCTCGCTATTACCTTCTGGATCGGGATCGTCGAGGGAGGGCAGCACCAGATGGAGATCGAGAAAGGGCGGTGAAACAGGTTCGCACTGAGGTTCTCCCGATTCTCTCTCCCTCTTCTTCTCTCTCTTCTTCGAATGCCCTCTCCTTCTTCCTTCTTCGATGCTTCTCCCTCAGCCTCGCCATAGCCAGGTCGATACCACCCGAAATCAGTCGGTAACGATTCAAATTTCAAATGTTACCACCCGAAACAGTCCCATATCATCCGATACAGGGCTATATCGAGCGGATCACCCGGTAGTGGGCAGTACGATTCGAAATTGCAAACCTTGGTTCATAGTTCAATGATGTTGTTTGCTAATGAGGTTGTTTGGTTTGTGGTTCTGCTGGAGCTTGCTCCACTATCTTATCTTCAAAAGTTCATTCTGATTTCTTTTCCCAGTACCGCCTAATAAAGGCAAAGTTGTTTATGTGATTGTTCCATACTGAGCGATTCTATGCTTTCTCAGTGCTGTTCCAGTGTACTTTCTCACTTTATACAGCTCTTGCCATTGATCAGCATATCTACAAACATCCTGAACTCTTTGTTGTTTTTTTTTTTCTTCATCTAACAGATGCTTGTTCAACATGTGATTCACATCCTGTATCCTATAAGTTTTCCACTGCAATGCTTTAAAAACTCCACAACACAGTTTGCATAGTTTGCATGTTTCCTTGACCGAATAGTTGTCCCCTTTCGACATAGATGTTGTCCAGTAAAGAAACTGAAGGGCCTTTGTCGTCTGAAGCATGGCAAGTTGTACATAACATATGAAACTTTGTTGTCTAGTCCTAGTTAAATGTTTGTTCCTTCTCTGACTATTTATGGTGGAAAGCATTTATATGTCTTAGTGGCTTTTGGTTTGACATTTTGAAGGTTTCTTTGAGCCTTATTATTCTGTAGAGGTACATCATCTTGCCTACTAATCAGAGGGCAGTGAGAATCAAGGCATGGGACTGATCTTAGATTATATGCACAGAGACTCCATCTACCCATGTATGTGATTCCTGATCATCATCCCTCAACGCCTGTTTTTGCTATTCAGCAACCTGTTTATATGATTAAAAGCTAAAAACAACATTGTTACTTTCCATATTTGGGCCAATGACTTGATTATCAATTTAGCTTTTAGCAGTAACCTGGAATTGAGTGTTAAGAGAATTTGTTTATCAAATACTTGTGTGGACCTATGAGATGTCAACACTTAAAAATTAAATAAAATTTTTAACCAGAGTGGGCTGGTCAGAGTACTGGATTCTGTGATGCATCTCACCTGTACTATGAGATGGATGTTTACCCCTCTCCAAGAGTTATATGTATTCATTTTATGATGATCATTTTAGAAACATAGGTGGGGTTTTTTAAGATGACAAACCTACTTATATACATGACTCGAATCATTTATGCTACAACCTTGGTTTGTCAGAATGCTAGGTGGATATTTTTAGCTTTATCCACCTGTCTTAATGATTCATGATTTTGGCATAAATCCTAAGAGCCTAATGATGGAAATCTACCTCCTATTTAGTTCAGAAATCTAAATGATCAGGTCCAATTTTGTACTGTGATTTTATCATGTGTTGGGTTACCAATCAATAGATGATAAATATGTAGATTTGAGGCCCATGACAAATCATGTACTTCATGAAAATTCATTTGGAAATGGGAGCAACTTTTCTGGCACAAAAACAATGTTGACTGCAATAAAGTGAATTCATCATGTGTTAGGTTACCAATCAATAGATGATAAATATCTGGATTTGAGACCCATGACAAATCATGTACTTAATGAATATTCATTCGGAAATGGGAGCAACTTTTCTGGCACAAAAACAATGTTGACTGCAATAAAGTGAATTCATCATGTGTTAGGTTACCAATCAATAGATGATAAATATGTAGATTTGAGACCGATGACAAATCATGTACTTAATGAATATTCATTCGGAAATGGGAGCAACTTTTCTGGCATAAAAACAATGTTCATGTAGTTCAATAAAGTACTGAAGCAGTTTTGACCTGGAAATGGATGGTTAGAATCATGCTATCTACATCATGGCTGCTGGCACTGTTCTTATTGTACCTAAGCATGCTGAAGCTTTCAGTAGTTACTACTGCTGGGATGTCTTGATTGAATCTAGTTATGGTCATTTTGGCATACGTTGAATTTAAAAAGGAATTGTTAGAGAGAATCCGATAGCCATATTGACTATGGGACAAGCTGTGCTGCCAACAAGCTTCAGTGTTGAGCTTACAGGCAGCGAAGGGTTTCAAGTAGTCAACCTACCATCTGGTACATCTTTACTTTATGATAGTTATGAGACTCTCTCCTCTGCCTCCTCCCTGCAGATGCCTTATCAATGCCACATTGTTGTAGTCGCCTTCCCATGGCACCGCCACAACATCCTCCTCTACCTATATGCAATACCACCTCTTCTTCCTCCTCTTCCATCTCTTCTTCGTCTTCCTCCAGTTCCCGTCTCATCCTCCTCCACCTACCCTAGCCATACTAATACCGATCATACTTCCAGCCATATTTGCACTATACTGATCCATCCAATGACCAGCACAGATATCGGACCAAAACTTCTTGGTGATCTCTGCGTCACTTAAATTCTCTTGTTCTTTTTTTGTTATGCAAGGTGCCTTCACGAATGTTGCAAACTAAAAGCTGGCATGTGGTGTTTGGTGGGTGAATGATGTGTTTATGGACTCAGATATATCAGTTCTGAATTCTCACAACATAATCGAAAAACTGAATTTGGTCAAACTTCAGGGTGGTGTTGCATTCATAAATTCCTATTTAGCAATTATGTAGTGCTTATAGGTTATGTAAATGGACTCCGTTGCTTGGCTTAGAGATGCAATTAATTTGATTAAAGAAGACCCTTTTTCTCAACACAAGTCAGAAGGATATTTCATTTGTCTGTTTGTTTTTTGCTGCCATCTCAAGACCATACTTGGTCTTATGCATATGTAACCTTCCCAATAAAATTTTGCCCTTTTGATCAAAAAATATACTTTGTACACTCAATTCTACCTGTCTTTATCTTCATCTACTGTCATCTTAGAAAGCACTGGCGATGCGCATGAGGATAGCTTACAAGGTGAACAACCAAGATGTGCTGGAACAAGGACAAGTCAACAACTTCCCTCCAGGATTATGAACACTGGTGATACTGTTGTGCAGGATTTTGGTCTTCGCCTAATTCCTCCTGCTTTCCTCTGATTTTTTTTTTCTATTTAATTTTCATTCTTTCTCTCTGAAGTCTTTAAACTATCTGAGAAATTTTGTGGTCATTGATTCATTGTAGTGTATAGAGTGGTGTCAATTGATGTTCTGTTCTCGGTGGCATGATGGATTACGTATTGAAATAGATAATCTGGAAGAACCAGAACTAATTCATTACTCATGACACAAGCGTTTGAGAGAAACAATTCATTGATGATTACTGCAAAGTCTACTGACATCGATGTGTTGTTCATTGCGCTATCAAGCCCGACTTCCGTTTACACTTGTGTCTTTGACTTTCGGCTGTGAAGCAGTCGGATTAGATCCGAAGAAGAGTTTGGCATAGTCCTATAAAATAAGACTAGTTTTCAGGAAAAAATATGGTCATCATTTTGTATTGATTACCGACTATATGTTTTATGATCAAATTGTAGGAAAAATATAGTCAGAACAAAAAAAGCAACTGCCTGCCTAAGAATGACTCTGTCAAAATCGAATACCGAAGCACAAAATTATGATAATATAGTATTCATTCATTAGCTCGTGTAGCTTAAAAGTATTTCAGGCTCAGGTTAATGATAATAAATTTATTTTTGATATGAGACCAAACAAGATAATCAATCTCTTAATAGGAAACGAAACCTAATTCGATGGTAGTTTTACATCATGTTGTATATTTAATTCCGATTGTCATATTATGATTTTATATATAACTGATTCGTTAGTTTGATAAACTTAAAATCATGCAAGTGAGCCTTCAACTGAATCGTGATGATTCCATTGCGAGGGATCAGAGGGTTGGGGGTTTGGACTTTATCCTACGAAGTGATACACGGGTGATCTTATTTTTGTCTGATGCATGGTAGGTAGGGTGGTGGAACAGTGCGGCGCCTTGTTCTGCGAGCCTGCTTCGATTAGGACGAGACGCCAAGCTCCGGCGATGGAACGGATTTCTTCATATCCATTTGAAATTTGATTTTGATATTCTTATATATATATATATATATATATATATATATACATACATAGAGATGCACATGAGATGGCCAATTTGCTCTCCAAGAACGCCAGACTTACAAAAGTCTTCCTCTTTTTTTTGAAGAGGGGAGTGTCTCTCTTAGCTTATCTGATTTTTTTTTTTTCTAAGCTCGGAGCCTTATTTGTAATTAATAGTTCACCTTAATTAATCTATTTTCCTTCAAACCATAAATTTAAGTATGTCTAATTTTATAGATTACCCAACCATCCTTCCAATTGTTATGTGAAATTAATTGAGTTAAAATATGCAATAATGATTTTTTCCTTTTTATGGTATCGATTGAATCCTAATTATAATTATTATCGATTTCATTGATGCTTGATGTTGTAGGTTCAGATAGCATCCTTAACAACACCGAAGATCGAAATCTAGGGGAATGAATGATTTGATCAAGAGAATAAGTCTGCTAAGTAGTGTGCTATGTAAAGAAAACTAACTTGTTTCTTCTCGTTAATCCTCCTTGAATGCTTGAATCAAAAGTTGTTCCATTAAAGAGGATAAAAGTTGATGGGCTCAAGAAACAAGAGGGTAAGAAGAAGAGGGAAAGACACTTTGGGTGATACTGATTTACTGTTGTTACTCTCTATTTATCATACGAGAATGAGTCGTTGTCTTACCATTGTGTTATTAGAGACGATTCTTATAACTTTGTATAGTGATAGAGGATGTTCTCTGCTATGATGTTAATTGTATCATTTTGATTTGATGAAATTATGGGATATAAAGATAAATAAATTTTACATAAGAACAAATAGAAGTAGATCGTAACACGTAACAGAATTAAATGGAATCACGATCAAATATAACACCAAGATTAACATGAAAAACCTCTCCAACGTGAAGGATAAAAACTATAGGAATAACTGAGATATAAGAATTACGTCATTGTGCACAATATCCAAATTCTTCTCAAATAATCACAGCAAGAATCTACTATAGATCTTATCTAACCTTAGACGAGAACACTACTTGGATGATTCAGAACAGTCTCTCTGTATTGTCCTTGTCTTCTTCTCTTTCCTTCTCTTATTTTTTCGTCATTTTCTCCTCTTTTTGAATCACATTGTTACTATAATTTTCTACCCCTACTACTACTACAGTTTTCTCCCAATTTTTGCAACCACCACACCCCCTTTATTATATATACGATTAGGTGAAAAGGGGGGTGGGCTATTGGTTGTTAAAGCCCATTATGAGCTAAACTCGTGGGATGTCAGCCCAACAACTTCCCCTTTCAGCCCATAAAGGAGGTTGTCTCATGACTCCTCAATCTGAAATTGCAACTGCTTCTCTTCAAGTATATTTTGAATTCAATGGTATCTGATATCTATATGCTTTGATTTGAAATGAAAAGTTGGGTTCTTACACAAATGAATGGCACTCTGGCTGTCACAATTCACCACATAGTTTTCCTGTTCAACCTCAATTATTATAAGAATTCTTTCATCCATAATATTTCTTTATAAACCTATATAGCAGCAATATATTCTACTTCTATGGTGGAAAGAGTAATACACATTTGTAATTTAGATTACCATGACACAGCTTCCCCTGCAAATGTAAGTACAAAACCTAATGTGAACTTCCGCGTATCAATATCTCTTGTCATATATGCATTTGTGTAACCTATCAACATAGGTAATCCACCTCCAAAGCTTAAATAAACCTTAGAGCCCCCTTTAAGATATTTAAAAATATATTTCACTACTGCCCAATGCTTTTTACCTGAATTTGTAAGAAATCTGGTAGTAACACCCACTATATATGTAATGTTTGGCCTCGTACAAACCATCGCGTACATTAAACTTCCAACTATTGAAGCATAAGGAACCTTTTGTATTTTTTCCTTCTCCTCATCACTTGATGGATTCTGTTCTGAGCACAACTTGAAGTGACTTGTAAGAGGAGAACCAACTGGCTTTGCATTACTCATACTGAACCTTTCTAATACCTTCTCGATGTATTTCTCTTGTGACAACCAAATCTTCTTATTTTTCTTATCACGGGAAATCTACATGCCTAGTATTTATTTTGCTGATTCCATATCCTTCATTGCAAAAGACTCACTTAGTTACTTCTTCAACCTGTTAATTTTAGATATACCTTTCCTAATGATAAGCATATCATCAACATAAAGTAAGAGAATAATAAAATTCTCACCAAATCATTTGATGTACACACAATGATCTGAAGTCATTCTTTTGTATCCATTTTCAGTATAAATGAATCAAACTTTCTATACCATTGTTTTGGAGCTTGCTTCAGCCCATACAAGCTCTTCCTCAACTTGCAGATAAAGTTCTCTTTATCTTTGACTCTAAAGCCTTCTGGTTGCTCCATATAAATTTTCTCCTCCAAATCATGATTAAGGAAAGTTGTCTTCACATCTAACTACTCAACCTTTAAGTCCTTGCTAGCAGCAATACCAAGATCAACGCGAATAGAAGATATTTTAATAATATAAGAAAAAATCTCTTTAAAGTCAATACATTTCTTTTGACCAAAGTCTTTCAGAACCAATCTAGTTTTGTACTTTAGTTGAGAATAATATTCTTAAGTCTTTAAATTAAAAACTCACTTGTTCTTCAATGCCTTCATTTCCTTTAATAGTTACACCAAATTATAAGTATGGTTCTTCTGTAGAGCATCCATCTCTTCCTACATAGCAACTAACCACTTCTTTTTCTACCACTTTCAACTACTTCCTGGTAACTCTTTGGTTCATCTGTATCAGTGAGCATCACATACTCATTTGTAGAGTATCTTCTAGAAGGTTGATGTTGTCATGAAGATCTTCTCAACTAAGGTTCTATAGGAAGTTGCTCTTTAACTTCTTCTTGCTCAACATATCCTATAGGTAGATCAATATCGGGCTCTACACCATCTCCTACACATCTTCCACATCACACTGATATACTTGAGGAGTAATTGGGTCATAATCTCTAATCCTTCTACATAAGTCTTGGCTGGTGCCTTCTTCTTCAAATTCTCGAAGGTTTGATTAAGACCACATCTCTACTTCTAAACACCTTCTGCTTTTTTGGATTCTAAAGCCTATAACCAAAATGATCATGTGAGAAGCTAAGAAAAATACATTCTTTTGTCCTACCATTTAACTTAGACCTCTCATTGTTTGGAATATGTGCAAATGCACGACAATCAAACACTCTCAAATGCCTATAGGAAATATCTTTCTTTGACCATACATGCTCTGCAACATTACTATCTAGGGCTGTACATGGTGACAAGTTGATCATATCAACTGTAGTCCTCAAAGCCTCATTCTAAAACTTTTTGGGTAGCTTGGCCTATGAAAGCATACATCTGATCTTTTCCATGATGATGTGGTTCTTCCTCTCTACAATAGCATTATGCTGAGATGTACCAGGAACTGTCATCTCATGTTGGATGTCATATGACTTACAATAATTATTAAATAATCCTGTGTACTTACCATCATTATTTGATCTTATGCATTTCAATTATTTTCTTTATCTCCCTTTCAACTCTGGCATGAAACTCTTTGAAGACATTAATAATCTGATTTTTTATCTTCATAGCATAGACACAAACTTTCCTAAAAAAATCATCTATAAAAGTGATAAAATAAAGTGCACCACTGATACCAAGAACATTAACAGATCCATCATGAGTTTCTGTCCTAAAAAAACCACATACATCTATATAAATACGGTCTAAGACATGCATTTTTCTAGATAAAGTAGGACTAGCAAATGAAACTCTATGTTGTTTACCAACCAAATAATCAATATAAGGGTTCATACGTGTACCTTTGAGTTCTGGTAATGCCTCTTTCTTGCAGTCTCTTCTCGCTCATGTGTCTCAATCACCTATGTCACAACTCAATGCTAAAATCTTTCTCTATAGCATTCAGTTGCTCACTACAAGCTTTGGCCTGCAACCTATACAAAGTATGACATTTCTTTCCACTAACCATAATAAGAGAACTCTTACTGAGCTTTCATTGCCCTTTGTGAAATCTATTATCATAGTCTTCATCATTCTAACTAAAATTAAATTCAACCACATGCCTCACATCTTTAAGCACCAACTTGCAGCCAAAGTTGATCTTTATGTCAATATCACTCATGTCAATGATGTTTGATGTGTCATAGTTGCCCATC